ATCCACTGTGACTCTGGCAGCAACTACCTCAGCCTTTTTCCTTTTAATTTTTTTTTCTTTTCATGATGACAGTGGTGAGGCCCTGCCTCCCCTGACTGCATGTCACTGCCCCAGGATCGTGTGGGCCATTAAGCGAGGACCTCACCTGAACATGACGTCATAAGAGGCAGGAGTCCCAAGCAAGCAGGCCAGCAGACAACATATAGATGAGAATTATAAGAATTATACTGATGATGTTACCTAGTTTGGGTAATGTAACGTTTGCAAGAAAACACACCACAGCACACCACAGAATCCACATTTATGAGTGCCCCGCCTATAAAAAAAATTAGCAATAAAATCCTCATCACCAAATATCAAAGAAATTGCACAGGGGAGCAAATCATGTCCAACCTGTGGAAAAAAAACTTCAATTTGAAATCAAAAGTTATTACACTCCTGCAGAGGTGAGAAATCATGTTCTTGTCCTCTGAGCATAGTAAATATTTGAGTGACAGGTCTTCTCTTACCAAACATGTCCAAAGCCATACCTGTGAGAAACTGTATAGGTGCTACATTTTTTTTAAAAAAAAGGAGTGACTCTGTATACAATCTTTTGGGCCAGAAATTAAGATGAAACTGCAAGTGGAAAATATGGAAATTGTTGAGATGTCATGCAAGCCATCTTTTCTTTTGGATTTCAGGCCTGCCACACTTTCTACTGTCTACTTTCTATTGTGGGAAAACGGGAGGGGGGAATATACAGAGTTGGGTGATATGTAGCCATAATAACATTTTTCTTACAAAGCCAAGGTCATCTTTGTCTCTGCACCTGACCAGAACTGGATGGGTGGAATCTGTTGTCGTGGCAGTGGAAGATTGGACCATGTGATGGACTTGTGAGTATTGGGGCAGGATCTTGAACTTTCAACTGGGTGGGAAAACCTGGAAGCTTTCAGATTCGGCTTTTCCCAGATGTGCCAACATGACATCTCTAATAAATTGGAACGTTGAGGAAACACAAGCCTCAGAGTTTTACTTTGTTGGGGGCGTCCTTTGGAACCCTGATATTAGAACTTTTAAACATGCTGGCTGGGGAATTCTGGAAGTTGAAATCCCCAAGTCTTAAACCTGCCGAAGTTGGACAACCGTGGTTTAAAAGTATCTAACAAATGTGTTAGGAATATAATCTAACGGTTGGCAATATATCAATCATGTAACAATGCTATACCTGTTTCTTTAAATCATACTGTAAAATGTGATTGGTTGCCAATCACAGAGCCGAGGTGGCACAGTGGTTAGGATGCAGTACTGCAGGCCACTTCAGCTGACTGTTATCTGCAGTTCAGCGGTTCAAATCTCACCGGCTCAA